TGAGGCTTTCAACAGGATTAAGCAGGCTTTGATATCGGCACCCATCATATGTGCTCCCGATTGGAATCTTCCTTTCGAGATCATGTGTGATGCAAGTGACTTTGCACTAGGAGCCGTGCTCGGACAAAGAAAGAACAAGGGTTTGCATGCTATTTATTATGCAAGCAAAACTTTGGATGAAGCCCAAGTCAACTATGCCACTACGGAGAAGTAGTTTCTTGCTGTTATATATGCTTTAGAAAATTTTAGATCATATCTTGTTGATTCTAAAGTCATTGTTTTTACTGACCATGCAGCGTTGAAGTACTTGATAGCTAAGGCGGGATCAAAGCCAAGGCTACTCCGATGGGTTCTTTTGCTCCAAGATTTCCACACCGAAATAAAAGATAAAAAGGGAGCAGAGAACGTAGTGGCAGACCACTTGTCACGTATCAGGTATGATGAGGGTAAGGATTCTCTTCCTATAGATGATTCTTTCCCTGATGATAAACTATATGTAGTTGTAGAGCAACACCCATGGTATGCAGATTTTGCTAATTATTTAGTGGGTGGTACTCTACCTCCTGACTTGTCCTACCAACAAAAAAAGAAATTTCTTTCTGATGTTAAACATTATTTTTGGGATGATCCTTTTTTGTTTCGTGAGTGTGCAGATGGATTATTTCGCAGGTGTGTTCCCGAATGGGAAGTCCACGGTGTGCTTACTAGTTTCCACACCTCACCATATGGAGGAGATCATGGCCCCACTAAAACGGTGGCCAAGATTAATGAGTCGGGTTTTTATTGGCCTACAATGTTTAAGGATGCTAACATTTTTGTGCAGGCTTGTGACTCTTGCCAGAGGACTGGCAACATCTCGCGGCGGCATGAGATGCCTCAAACCGGAATTTTAGAAGTTGAAATTTTTGACGTTTGGGGTGTTGATTACATGGGATCGTTCCCTTCTTCAAAAGGGAACCTCTATATTCTTGTCGCCGTCGACTACGTATCCAAGTGGGTTGAGGCCATCGCCACTCCTACCTATGATGCCAAGGTGGTCCACAAATTTTTCAATAAGACCATCTTTCCAAGATTTGGCATGCCTAGAGCGATAATAACTGACGGAGGATCTCACTTTCATGAACGGAAGTTAGACACCCTCCTCAAAAAGTATGGAGTCTACCATAGGACAGGTTTAGCCTACCACCCCCAAACTAGTGGCCAAGTTGAAGTTTCTAATCGTGAGATTAAGGCCATTCTAGAGAAGGTGGTGGCAAAGTCAAGGAAAGATTGGAGCGACAAGTTGGATGACACCCTTTGGGTGTACAGAACTGCATTCAAGACCCCTATAGGTACTACTCCGTATAGACTCGTGTACGGTAAAGCATGTCATCTCCCGGTCGAATTGGAATATAAGGCATATTGGGCTATTAAGGAGCTCAATTTGGATGCCAAACTGTAGGGAATAATTTCAAGCCTTTAAAATCCCACTAGCTTGAACCCCACTGTGATCATACATTAAAGTACGGTGGCGTCCAAAAGGGAAGAAGATAGAGCAAAAGAGTCGCCAACAAGTTTTTAAGGAACTTGTAAACCGTTCACGAGGTGAAGGTTACACCCCTTAACGATCCAAGAGATCGTCAACTCCATAAGGTCATGAACCAAATAAGGGTTCGGGGATGATGGTACAAATCCAACCTAAAAGAGATTGAACCTGCCCTAATAATAGGCCTCTACTTTATTCTGCTCGTATTCATGTGCGCTTTCTAACTAACATACAATCAATAGGATTAACCCTAAACCTGTTTAATCTATGTTGGTTGAATTTTAATTCACAAATAAACTATTATTGGCGATCACTTGAATTATAATCACAATTAACCCTAAACAAGATTATTAATTATCTTATTAAGCGTGATTGCAAGTACCAATTCCCTTTAACATGCAATAAAAGGTGATCAAGCAATAAAGAACAAATAAATATCAAGCAACATAATAAATAATCAATATCATGAATAATAATTAATAATCATATCATAATAAAAATAATAATAATAATACTCATAATCATGTTAAAGCATAGCAATATCCTAGGCATGATACTAACAAGATTAATAACAAATCCTAGCATGTCACTAAGCAATAAAAATCAAATTTTAATCCTAACATGATACTAACAATCATAAATATTAGGAAGAAAATAGGAAGCATCACAACAATCATATTTAATATTAAAAATACCCTAGACATGATACTAGGAATCATAATAACAATGTAAACACGATATCTACATCATAATATCAATTAAAACCATTAAAGCACTTACTTTGATGCCTCGTACCTCTTTCTAATAACAAAATACACACATTAGTAATTTCAAGGAAAATAAACAAACAATTAAATTAAATAATTGAAAGAGAGATTTGGGACCAAACCCTCAGAAATTAAAACCTTTCACGTCTAGGGCGAAGGCAACTTCGAATATGGCTAGGTGTATCTAGATCTTGCGAATGCGGAATTTTGTATTAAAAATCAAAGTTTAGAAAAGAATACTAGAGAATTAATATTATTGAAAATTGATGAAAGAAAGATGAAGAATGAATGAAGAATGAATTAAAAGAATTTGATGAATGATTTATGATTGTTGATGAATGATGAAGATAGTTGGTGAATGAAGAGAGTTGATTAAAACTTAAGAATAAAGAGAATTGGTGAATGATAGATGTAGATGATGATTGAAAACGGAGTTTTTGATACGATATTTATAGAGAAAATCATCCAAAAAAGATAATTTACCAAAACAGAGTCTGAAGACCGCAAAACAACCTTGGCGCCAGGACCAGTGGCTAGCGCCAGGCGCCAATGCTGGCGTCTGGCGCCAATCCCGATTCCAGGCGCCAAGGCCTGGGGTTGGACGCCAAAGTGGTTTTCCACGCGTTTTCGAAAATCTGATAAATTTCCTGTACTGGAAGATAAAATAATATAATTTCAGTCGAAAATGCTATTTGATCTTGATTAAAACTCTGAAGAATCCTAACTGAATTAGGAATGAAAAGAACCTTCTAGAATGTTCTAGAAGACTAAAACCATTCCTAATTGCATTAGGAATGATCATAGGGCCGTACTTAAAGCTCAAACCGGGCCCAGTTTAGTAAATTGGCCATAACTTCCTCAATATTCATCGGAATTGGGCTTATAATATATCGTTGGAAAGGTGTTTGCAAGCCCCATCTAAATACACTACTTTTGGACCCATATCATGGACCAACCAAACTAGATTAACTATTTTCTTAAAATAAAGTTTTCAAAATCAGGGAGAAGAGAAAAGAAATAAAACTTTCCGCAACACTAGACCTTTCCACACTTTCGTTTCATTCGATTATGATTCGACGTGAAAGGCACTCATCACTGGGTTTGGTTTTGGGGAGACACAAATGGGTGTCTACACAAACTAGCGGGAGAAAAGAGGTTACTTCAACTTAACCAACTCGATGAGTTTAAGTTGACGGCCTATGATAGTGCTCGAGTCTACAAGGAGAAGACAAAGAGGTGGCACGACAAGATGATCCTTCCAAGAGAATTCAAAGAGGGTGATAAAGTGTTAATGGGTATCTCTGTTCAAAATCTATTATCATGAGACTTACAAAGTACACTGGTTTTTGTTGTTTCTGCCTTTAAACTAGGAGGACTGAACCAATTGTCTGCATTAAGGCGGAAATGTACAACTGGATTTTTTCGCTTTACTCTAGGCTGATCATGGTTGGGAGCTTAGTTAAGTGCTCCTTGATCCCCTTGAAAGTTTCTTTTTTTGCTTTACCCCAGTAAAATTCTCTATTTCCTTTTAACAACATATAGAATAGTAAAGTTTTATTAGCTGACTTGCTGATGAACCGGGTCAGCGATGTCATTCTCCCTATTAACCACATAATATCTTAGGTGCACTTGGGCTCTGGGAGGCTGAGGACTGATTCCACTTTCACTATATTAGCATTGATTCCCCTCTCACTAACCAGGAAGCCTAAAAATTTCCCAAAACTCACCCATAAAACGCATTTCTTTGGGTTGAGCTTGATACGATATTTATTCAGTGTAGCAAATGTCTCTGCCAAGTCTAGAATGTGCCCTGCCTGCATGACGCTTTTGACAATTGAGTCGTCAACATACACCTTGACATTTCGTCCTTTCTGGTGCATGAACACTCTATTTATAATTTTTTTGGAACGTAGCCCCTGTATTCTTTAGCCCGAAGGGCATAACTATATAATTGTACACTTCCCCTTCAATGATGAACATAGTCTTCTGTAGGCTGATTTGGTGATACCTTAAGAAGGCATCCATGAAGCTCAACAAGGCATGACCGCTGGTAGAGTCTACCAACTGATCAATCCGCGGCAACGGGTAGCAGTCTTTTGGACATGCTTTATTGAGATATGTGAAATCAACGCACATCCTTTACTGGCCATATTCTTTCTTGACCATGATCACGTTGGCTAACCATTCTGGATAATCGCAAGGCTCAATGAACTTAGCTTCCAGCAGCTTGTCCCCCTCTTCCTAAATGGCCTGATTTTTCTTCACGGAGAAGCTTTGTTTTTCAGCTTGATCGGTCTGACGTCTTCTTTCACATTCAGCCTGTGGACCATAACCTCTAGGTCAATTCTTAGCATTTCATCTGCTGAAAATGCGAAGATGTCCTTATTTGCTCTCAGGAGTTCAATGAGGTGCATTTCCACTCTAAGGTCAATGTCTTTTCCAATTTTTACCGTCCTTGAACTATCTCCCTTTGTGAGCTTGACTGTAACATGCTCTCTACTGGGTAACGATCTGGCTACCTCTTCTTTTGTGGGCTCAAAACTCTCCATTGCTAGCTTCTTCTTGTCCTTTTCCCTATGGTACTCTTCTCGCTTACTTTTCCTTGACTTCTTCTCACCCTAATCCTTGGACCCTAGCTCGAACCAGACTGTGGCCCTGGATGGTTGGTTTAAGGCTGTAACATAGCATTGTTATGTTGTCTTTTGGTTTCAACTAAGCTTTGCGGATCTTTCATCATTGGTTGTGTACATCATGGCAAATTGGTAAATGGAGACCACCCCACCTATTTTATGGATGAGTGGCCTTCCCACAATTACATTGTAGAGTGATGGGGAGTCTATTACTAGAAATTCAGCTTGGACATCACACTGCCTTGATCTCTCTCCGACACGAACTGACAGCTCTATTATGCCCTCAGGGACCAATCCTGATCCATTGAACCCGGTGACTTCATAGCTCACCCTTTTCAAGTCTCTCTTATCTAGCTGCATCTCTTTAAACGCGCTGATGTATATGATGTTGGATGAGCTGCCACTATCGATTAATACTCTATCCACTTCCCAATTCGTAATACTCACTGTAACTACCAGAGGGTTGTTATGCGGGTAAATTATGCCTTTCTGGTCGTACCCTTCAAATGTGGCTCGTGGCTACAGGGGAAGTGGTGGCCATCTGAACCTTTCATTATAGCCTATCTGATGGATCATTGCTCGCAAGTCAGCCCTTACTTTGTTCACGTTTCATCCATGTACCAGTCCACCATTAATTACATACACCCTGTTCTCTGGCTTACTATCTCGATCTTTGCCCTCAGTTGGGCCTTTATAACTTCCTCTACGGTCGTGACCAGACCTGTCTTCTTCCCTCTGCCAGGATGAGACAAGATGATGCCTGAACTGGTTCAAGTACCCTCTTCGGACTAAGTCCTCTATGTTGTCTTTCAAGTGTGTACACTCATCTAAGGTATGTCCATGGTCCTTGTGAAAGTCACACCACTTGCTATAATCACAGTTTCTGTTCATCATCCTAGGTGGCCTTTGCCATTTGTCATTAGCTTTGTTCACGTTGAAATTATGGGACCTCAGATGAGTGAGCGGAGTATATTGATCAAACCTTCCAGCCTATCTTCGCGCTTCTAGTCTAATCTTCTTACTCCTACTGCCCTGTCCGCATTCTTGTGACCTTGTTCTGCCCTGCTGGGCTGATCCAACCTGCTATATTCTCTGCCCGTGTGACTTCAGCTCGCTTACCTGGGTCACTTGGTGCTTTTCTGTTCAGCATGGCTCTGCAATCTCGTCTGCTTTTATGAACTCATGCGCTTTACCCAGCTCTTCAGCCAGTGTTTTGAGGCTCTTTTACCCCGTGTACGCTCTGAATTTTGAGCCTAGTAGTAGGCCGCTCTGCATTGCTAGCAGTGCTACTTTCTGACTCATATTTGGGATGGTGGTTGCTTCTTTGTTGAACCTGGTAATGAACTCCCACAGGGGCTCATCCTTTCCTTGAACCAATGACATCAGCTCGATGGTCATTTTTGTATGATCCAACAGCGTGAAAAGTGTTCCATGAACATTCTCTTCAGCTGATTATAGGAATAAATAGATCCCTTCGAGATGGTCGCATACCATTCGACAGCCAGCCCTTCTAAGGTCGGTGGAAATGCTTTACACCAGACTAAATATGTCATAGTGTATAATACCATATTCTCAAATGTTGAGACATGATTCTAAAGTGTTGTAGTATGTACCATTGTACTTGCAGCTGGGCATCTTGATTTTCTCCATTTGCTCTTCCAGAATCTCCCTGCAAAATGGAGAATCATCTGGGATCACCTGTATTCATGCTCGCTTCTCCCTGTCCAGCTATCTCGTACACTAATCATTGCATAAGACTTTTCAATTTATGTAACAGAGTAGCTTGATATAACTTTCAAATAGAGTGTTCAACATTAAATTCTCTTTTTGAGGTAAAATAAAAAATTTAAATTGAATGAATAAAACATATCAAGTGGAGTGTTTGTTGGATCTCAGTTTTGTATATGTTATTCAAAGGTAATGCTTACACAAATATTACTCCAATAATTTTGATTTTTCTCAATTTAAGTGGAGATGTGATCAAATTAAAAAAATAAATAAGTAAATAAATAAAATTGAATTGCTTTATCAAAATGGAACTTTTGATGTAACTATCATTAAGAGGATAATAACGAGTCAAAAAGTTATTAATCTTAAATTTTTTCTCCTCTTTTTTCCTCCTTTCTCTCTCCAAAACCCTAGCCTCCATTGTTGAATTTTGAAGGGGCTTCCATCGATTTTAATCGGTGGAAAGCCCCCATTCTTGTTTCTTTATTGTTTTTTTAGGTTTATAATAATGCTTCCTCCTTTTAGGAGGAACTTTTCTCCCTCGAAAGAAAGGGTTTCCGATCTCCTTCGAAAGACAAGGGATTTTCGACCTCCTTTGAAAGACAAGGTTTATCTCCTCTTTTCGAGGGAGAAATTTCTTAGTTTTGAATCCATGGTAGCAGATATAATGGATTGTCGTGAAATTATTTCGTTGGTGAAAAATTTATCAAGTTTTCGAATACGAACAGATGAATCAGAAGGAAAACATCCTCACGACTACAAAGGATCATTTGATTGTCTCTCCAACAAGGCTGTAATTTTCAGCGATATAGGCGGGAGATGCTCTGCAGTGCAAGATCTAGTCGACGATCGTCGTAGTTTTTATGAAGGAAAATTCTATTTGATTCAATATCTTATGTATTTGTTAACGTCGAATCTCTATTGTAGATGTCGTATGACTTTTAATGAAATATTTTTGCTATTCAAAAAAAAAAAAAAAAAAAAGGGATAATAACGAGTCAGTTCCTTTGAGATTGTTGATCTAAATATTACATCTTCACTTTTAAAAAGGGTTGTCTATGATCAAAACTTCATGGGATTTGCCTGAAAAATCTCAAACAAGAATAATAAGAAGAAAAGAAGGATGGAGAGGGACCCTCATATCTACTCGGGGCTTACCGAGTAGCCTGAACGAGACTATGCTATATAACTAGATAGAGAAATGGTATTTGGGACATGTATTAGAGTGCGTGGGTAAGAGTAGTTGTTTAAACCTCACTAAAAAGACTAGAGAGAGATTTCGATCGACTTTTGAACCTAGAGATAAACTTCATTTTCCTCCAAATGCTGAAAGATAAAGGAATATATATAGGTACGAATATGAATATATAATTCTAGCTCTATCATCTGTCGTACATATTGGACCACGACACAAGGGCCAATTGCTTATTCAAAACTTGTGCTAGTAGCTAGTATTTCCAAGAAAAACGAGAAAGGATGAGGAATGTGGCATATAAAATCTTTAATTTTTATCTAGTGAGTAGCACAATGGCTTGTGCTTAGCTATGTTTTATGCTCTACATAGTTTTGTTTCATTTACCCTCAAGCAATCAATAGTTGTCCCATTGAGCTTAATAAGGGAAAATGAAAGGTTGAAAAACATGGTTGACATAATCTTCAGTTCTAGCGAATGGCTCTATGGTGTATGTCTAACATATGCTCAACTCTCATCGACATAACTTGATTTCCTATAGCTTAAAATATTCGTTAGGCTTTAAAGATAGTTGTTTAACGTTTTCGAAAAGGTTTAAGATTCAAAAGTGGCTTTTGGATTTGAAAGTCTGTTTTGGGCAATGTTAATCAATTTTGGGCTATGGAAAACGATTTTAGGATTTCTAAAAGTTGGAAAAACATATCTTGAGCTTTAAATTTGAAATATTACTTATTAATGTACCTGCAATTACATGTTAAGTTAAGGTTTAGGGTTCTGCTGATAATGGTTATGATCAACTAAATTTTTTTGATGAAATTGTTGTTGATATTCATGAAAAATGTTTGAATTGTATGTATTTTGTTGGGTTAAATAATTTTTGTAGAAAATGAAAGGGGATTATGAACACAAGCCTAGGTTTGTATTAAAATTGTGTGAAACGGAGGGTAGTGTAATGGGTGGTTTAAAACTCAATTTTGCTAATTGTAGAATTTTTTTTCAAATGAAAAACATTATTATTGCCAATGATATATGATTGTAGAATTTTGCTAGTTTTTTTTTTTGAAAAAAAAAAATTTTGAGTTGTTCCCAACCATTTAAGTTTGGCATTTGTACTTTTTTTTAAGCAAAGTACTAAGTTTTTGCTGTAACTAATGCATGCATCAAAGGAATTAACATTTATTTGGAAATGATGGGACTTTTACGTAATAATCAGCAAGAGGATAATAGAAAATGAATTCCCTTGAGATTGATAATAATCTAAATATGACATCCCCAATTTAAAAAGTGGTTGTTATGAACGTTTGTGATTAAAACTTCATAAGATTTGCTAACTAGAGCGAGCAATGCTTAGCCTTGGATCTTAACGGGACTATGCTAACTTGAGTGAGCAATGGTATTTGAGACATGGATTAGAGCGTTTGGGTAAAATTAGTTGTCTAAACCTTACTAATAAGGCTAGAAAAGATTTTGATAGCCTTTCAAACCTAAAATAAATTTAAACATTTTTCAAATGCTAAAGGAGTATCTATAGGCACACATAGGAATATAGACTTTAAGTTCTAGCACCCGGTGCAAGAGTCATGTGCTTAAGCAAAAATTTTGTTAATCTCTAGAATTTCTAAGCAAACGAGATGAGGAACGTGGTAGTCAAAATCTTTTAATTTGGCGAGTGGTACAATGGGCTATTTTTTGCGCTCATCATGATACCTTAATTTCCTATCGGGACACCACATGATTTTATTTCCTTAACCCACAAGGCATCAAATAGTTATTCAGCTGAGCTTAAAAAGGGAACGAGAAAGGATGAGGTACATGATTGGCAACAGCTTTAGTTCAGTGACTAGCACAATGCCTTGCTTTTGGCGCATGTTCTACGCTCATCAATAGAATTTGGTTTCTTTTTGGAAGATCGCATGGTTTAGTTTCCTTAGCCCTCAAAGCATCAATTAATTGTCCTCCTAGGCTTGAAGAGGGTCAGTGAGCATTTTGCATTTTCAAAAACGTTATGGTTTCAAAAGGTGATTTTGGGCTTTAAAAGTTAGTGTTGGGCCCTAACCAATTTACGTCTTAGAAAAGTGATATTGAAGTTTTAAAAGAACAGTTTGAATTGCATGAACATATCTTAAGCTTTAAAGAGTGCTTTGGAGTTTCTGAAAGGTTACTTAGTTTATTAATAGCAATTACATGCTAGAAATTATTTCTTACAATCAAGAAAGCATTTATATACTAGATACTACTTCACAATTCAACGTTGTAAAAAAAAAAAAGAATAACTAAAGGTACTCGTATATTAATGCTTGTACACTAATTAACATTAAAATTGTTAATGATTTCATTTCTTTTGAACTACAATCATAAAGATAAAAGCTATTATCCGACTAATAACCCCGCTTACAATAAGAAATATTAGACAACGATTCCAATGATTAAGGCTATATCCACTTTGCATCAAAGATCCACAACGAGTTATTAGCCACACTCCATCATACCTACATATATCGAATGAAACATGGTCATTGATATAACATATGTCATAATCAAATTTTGTCACCTAATTAAATGTATTTAAATCTCTACAAAATTATGAGCTACCAAACTTTTTTTTTTTTTGGTTATACTTAAGCGTGAAAAACGTACTTTTCAGCATTTGCAATGACAAATGCCTCTAAAGCCCATTTTGAGTAGGTAAATTTTCCTACTTCAAACATAATTTTGCTTTCTTTGTCTTGGCTTGCAATGAGTGATAATACTACTGGAAGAAGCACACACCACTGTAATGCACATCAAAAATAAATATTTAAATTAGTAAAAATAACAAGTAAAAACTATTCCCTCCATCTTTTTAATTTGCTACATTTTTATGCAAGTTTGTTCTATTTGGTTTTTTTTTCTCATTAATAATTGTGTTAAAATTGAATGTAGCAAATAAAAAAAATTATAGGGAGTACTAAGAAATGATGTGTTTTTTAAGTAGCTAATTTGTATAATATACCAGTTGTGCAGGACCTGGCTGGAGAAGTATCGCTAAGCCGTAAGCTACCCCAGTCACACAATACACAAGACAAACTAGGACTATGTAATTGGCTAAGAAGCTTGATCTTGGATTGTTGGAAAAGTAAAACACTGAGAGGTAAACCAAAGGCTTAAAAAGAGTGTTAAATTGATCAATTGTATCTTTAGAGAGAAAATATGCCAAACTACTCATTCCTGACGAACTTTCTCTCCAATACTGTAATCTATCAAGTGTGAATGATCTCAAAGCTGAAATCTTGCATAATAGAGCTGCCAACCAACAAGATACACAAATATGAGAAACATTTTTGTGATTAATTAAAAAGTGTATACGTGGAGTCAATTGGTAACAACTACATTCCCCGTGTCATTTAGTTGTTCTTATGTTCCTTTTTAAGTGAATCAAAATGATATCTATGATTAGAATATTTCTTTCGTCATCTTACTATTTGTACCTAAAGAACCTCAACAATTTAACAAAACTATATATATTGCCCTCATTTTGCTATATATATTGCCCTCATTTTGTGAAAAAAATTATGCCACCATTCATTTAATGTTCAATAACCCATCTTTTTTTTTCTTCTCGTTTCTCAATTACCAATAATACTCAATTCATATTCTTTCCTTTTATTTCATTCCTCAATTTTCAACAATACTCAATTAATAATGTTTCTTTTTTTAACTTCTAAAATAAAACTTCGTCAAAAACCCCAACATTAGCTTCAAAATGTGACAAATGTCACCTTAGAAATTAATAGTTACACATTTTCTAGTTCATCATGTTGTAATATTTAAACCTTAAGAGATGACTATATGTAGGATAGCAAATTTAGTGAAATGAATTAATAATTCCTTGATCCAAAGATATGTATTTGATTAGTAGTCTAATCATGTATGTTATTGCTTAGTCATGTAAAAGATTTAATATATGAGAAATCCTTATAGAATATAATATATTTAAAATACATAAAGCCATATTATCTAGGTTAATGGTGTAAATTTATATGGGTTTTAGGGCATAAAAAATACTTACATACGGCAATCACAGTGTAGTTATAACCAATTGCACCAAATGTTTCATCGCTCACTTTAGCAAGAGTTCCTAAACAAGCTCCAGCAAGTAAAAGAATTAAATAATCCACGGCCTGTAATTTAGCTTCACGTAGTCTTTGCTTTCCAACCCTAAAAATAAATCATAAAATTAATCATCTAGTGAATCAATTTGATTAGGTAGACTACAATGATATAAGATGGAATAATGCAGTTTCCTTAATCAACCTTAAGAATTTTTTAGCTAAAATACTTTTATTTATGTATTTATTTTTTTTACAAAAATGATCAATCCATTAGTATTGTTCCTCAATTTAAGTTCTAATAAATTAATAGTATAATAAAATTAAATAATTCATACTTATTATCACTTTTAACAAAATGGTATTATTATTTGGTACCTTTATTTTATGATGATTGGAATTATAGCTTCATAATTTTGATTTATATTTTTAATAAGGATTAGAAACATAACATACCTTCCTAGAAAATATCTATATTGTCGCATTATCCCAGGGGTTATGCGATTTGACAAATCTTGTTTTTTTAAGAAGTTGTGCTTAAGGTGCTCTCGTCTTAATACAAGTGCACACTTAATTTCTTGTATAAGATCTCCAATAAAAGATTTATCATGTCGTTTATCAACATGAGGTTTTAGAGAGTTATCAGGGGAAGAAGTGCTAGAAATTTCATCACAAAGATGCAACATATCTTGAGGTACTGGATAACCATTATGAAGCATCCATCTCACAGGAAGTTGTTCACGTGTAACATTAGATCCTGACTTAATTATTCCCTCTAAAATATCAATATAATGATCTGGAGGAGTAACACGTTCCGGTACAATGATCCCTAAACCTGCAAAATATTCTTCAACTTTCTTTGTTGGGCCATGGTACACTGTTAGACCTCCTTTTGCAAGTAAGATGAAGTCGTCGAACATTTTAAACAATGCATAGCTGGATAACACATGAAATATATATTACCATATAGAAAAAACTTTAAATTAAATTTTGATTATAATAATTACTTGGTGATAAAGAAATTTACAAGTCTATAATACTTCACTAGGAAAAATACCTTATCAATTCAATCTAATCCTACTTTCCATCATTGTTTTTATAATTATATTCTTTTTCATGTGAATCCCCGCCTTTTATAGTGTTTGAGATAACTCTTATAATAGCGTTTGGATAATTATAGCCTCTAAATTTTTTATTTATTTATTTGCTCTTATTAATGTTTATTGCCTTTTTTTAACTCTTAAGAATAGTGTGTGGACATTTAAAACCCTTAAAATATTTGTGTACGCATTTCATCATTAATACTACCAACAACTAAAGTTGGAAGGCCAACCAAAAGAGCTTCCTGGACATAGCTAACAATGATGCTTGCATTAGCCGCCCTAGTATGAGAAAATTTATGTCTTTTAATAAGTAGAAATTTATGATATTAAAACAAAAAAAATAATAATAAACTTTAGTTTATCTCATTTGAGAAATCATTAAAACCTACTCCCTGTTATAAAAAAAATAATTAAAAAAAAAAAAAACACTACTCCCTCTATCTTTGAATAATTGGCAGGAAAATTTGACAATTACCACCTACAATTATTGTTGTTTTAGCAATTACCACCTATAGTTTTTTTTTTTTAATTCTACCACCAACTATTTTTTTAAAACAGTAAAACTTCCTACCTACTTGTCTCTCAACTCAAATGTGACATCATGTGTTGCCCACTAACTACCTTTTCCCTCCCTTTCTTTCATTGTCACTCGATTTCTCATTCCCATGTATTGTACTCCTTCCAAAATTGGGAAAAAACTTCAATTTGTGAAATAATTAGCATGAATATGTAATTTAATTTGAAATATATCCCCAATTTTGAGAGGATTACAATATGGGGGAATGAGAAATTAAGAGAGAAAGAAAGAAAAGGAGGGAAATAAGGTGAGATGTGAGCCCTGTATGACATCACACTTCAATTCAGAGCCAAATAAGTGGGAAATTTTGATGTTTTAAAAAATAATTGGTGGTAAAGTTCAAAAAAAAAATTAGGTGGTAATTGCTAAAACAACAACAATTGTAGGTGGTAATTGACAAAAAAAAAAAATCTAATTGGCACTGTTAAACTAAATACACATATCAATGCATAAATTTGACCTTAATATATGTAATTAAATAGTTGTATTAGTTATAAAAAAAAAAACAAAATAACAAAAAGTAGATATTATGAAATTACTCATTTTTAAAAAAAATTAAGAACATATTCCTGACCTTGCTAATGTTGACTTGTAGTCTAACAACTTTTAATTTGCTTTTGTGTAAGTTTTCACTAATATTAATAACTAAGATCAAATGAAAAAAAAAAAAGCTCTTAGACACACCACCATGATGAAGATAATGATGATAAATCCTTATAAATGAAATGGTAATAATTTTAAATTACCTTGGTTGGTGGATGACCGTGCATATGTTTACTCCTTCAAGAGCTTCACGTCTAAGAGCTCTTAGAAGCAAAAGAGATGAAGAACTATCTAAACCAGAAGTAGGCTCATCTAAAATTAATAATGAAGGTTCCATGACCATTTCTAATCCTACGTTTACTCGTTTTCTTTGTCCTCCAGATATCCCTCTTTTCTCAACTGTTCCCACTAAAGAATCGCGTATTGCTTGTAACCCTAATGCTTCTATTACTCTTTCTACAACCAGAACCTTATCGGCCTTTGGAAGATCACCAGGTAACCTGCATATGAAGATATACATGTACTCTTAATATGTTAAATAGTCATTGTATATTACAAAGACTAATAAACTAATTAAGCTAAAGCGATTAAGCATTATAGTAAGTTTTATATATGCTTTATTTTATACAAGTTCATGTTTTTAGATTAAATATTTTTATTACTAAATTAACATTTCTGACAATCCTATCTCAAAACATGTAGAAAATAAGTGATAGCTTTGTATTGAAAAGTAAATAAAAACATATATATTTTATTTTAGATACAAAATTTCCTATAATAATAATAATAATAATAATAATAATAATAATAATAATAATAATAATAATAATAATAATAATAATAATAATAATAACAATTTTGTAGCAATTTAGTAATGTAATTAACTCAAAGTTTCACTCTTCTATAAATTCTCAAACATATTGTTAATAGATAATAAGGTTGAAGCAATAAATGTTTCACTTTTTTAAAAGAAAAACCAAATTTAAGTGATATTTATTTTAAAAATTAATTTCCATGAATGTGCATATATAACTTTTTTTTAATAGATTTTTAATAGTTTTATTTAAAGCCACATAATGATTCGAAACTTAATAAAGCAAATTAGCTAACAAAGAATATATTTTAGTAATATATCGATCCTTAATAATATGGCGTGCTTATTACACTTCTAACTTTTTTAGTATGTTATTTATGTGCAATTCACCATAGCATACTATTTTTAGCTTGAATTGCCAAAGAAAGAGGTTTTTTTTTACCATCACTTAGCTTACCTACAACGAGCACTGAATCTTAGATTTTCTTCTACAGTTAGGTTCCCGTGCACAATGTCATCCTGTGGGACAAACCCAATTATCCTTTTGTAAGAGTGAACTGATTCATTTTTCCCATTGATGAGAATTTGTCCCCTTACATTACATCCTGTAGCTTTTCCTGTGACAGCTGAAAGAAAAGTAGTCTTCCCAGCACCAGAAGGACCCATGACTGCGGAAACTCGGCCATGCATTAGTTTTCCAGTAATGCACCGTAATAAATGTTTGTGTTTTCCTTTTAAGGTTAAGGTTAAATCTTTAAAAGCAACCTCTAATAAAGGCCTTTTTCGGATTTCGGTATCAGTAGCCATAGAAATAATTCCAGAAAATGTAAGGTTCTTGTTTTCTTGTTGCATGGCCTTCTCTTTTTCAAGTTGCCCATATGCATATTTAAAAATTTGGCTTCGTGTGTGTAATTCCTTAGCTTTGAATTGTTTTTTAATATTTTTATCCCCAATCTCCATATTAAAACCCTCACTACTATCCGGATCATCCTCAATTTGTTGCATCATTTTTGTGAGTTTGCTGCTATTTCCTTTATTTTTTGATTTTGAATCTGAAGAACTTGTAACATCATTACTTGTAGATTTTGGTTGAAACCCTTTTGATGGGTCTTGTCTTGTAGATTTTTTCTTAGAAAAAGTGCGCGATAATTGTTGCTGTAACCCAATAGCACGATTTCTAGCATTTTCCTTTGCTACTTTCCACCTTTCACGAGCTTGTGCAGTTTCTTTTGCACTTCTTATTGCACGCTCTCTAGATCTAGCTAACCTTCTTTCTCGAGTAGTAAGTACTTGGTCCGAACAATTATATACAAGAAGTAGACTGGTACTTAATATAGCCTAAAAAATAAAAGTTGGTATGTTAGCGAATATGCATATACTATGTTAAAAAAACATAATAATTAATAAAGATACAATCATGATGTATATATGCAGTAATGATTAATTAAGTCTTCCATCCAGCTTCACTTTTTCACCCTTGTACTATCATGTACTTCTTATGCTCTTTCAAATTCTTCCCACTTTTATATAGAGATTTCTTCAAAATTCTTTCAATTTTGCTTAGTTTACTTATTAGATAAATGTGGGTTTCCCTTTCTTGCACCATTTGTTAGACTCAACTCTTCACACTCTTTCTTTAGCACAATCTCTTTTATATTACAAAAAGAGCTCAAATTTCTCTCTCATTTTCTTCTTAAGCGTAGTTATAAAAAGTGAAGTAATATAGAGATAGAGCGAGCACGTGATACTCTTGACCTTTTATTAATTAGGTGATACTCTTGACCTTTTTTTAATTAAAGTGTTGGATTTATCTCAATATATAACTTTATATTATCAATTGTTTATCGACATTACTAAGGAAATTAAATTATATATATTAGTAATTAAATTTTTGTTTTGATATAAGTCAAAGTAGAGTAACTAAATTTCTATATAATAACTAAGGTTTTTGCACAAATTAACATAATTTTGTTTTATATCATATTTTCCATGCAATGTTATTTATAAAGCATACTAAATATTTATCTGTCAATCTTCATATTAAAATAATATCAATTCAATGTTTACATAAGAATATTTTCACATGGAGTATAATAGTAATATTTCTATTAGAAAATGATAACATGGATATCGAACACTTACAATGAGTAATATGCCGTAAGCATGTATATTTTGATTAGCAACTTTATCGTTACAACTAGCCAATTTGAAGCATGCTGTGATGAAAAGTTATGAATAATGAGACTTTACAACAAGTTCATGTTCTCTTAATCGTAATAATTAAAATTCAAACCCTTAACTTAAGCTACATGGAAAAATTATGAATATAAAATGCCAAAACAATTTTTGCATCAATTGAAGTCCATTGGTTATTGAAAAACTAAATAGAAGATGGATAGATTTAAAATTTTAAAGAAAAGTGATTAAAGCAATAAGAGTCATAAGAACCTGCGAAATCAGAGTGTTTATGAAATGTTCCATAACTAAAGCATAGTACAGATGCACCTGTAAATTGTTTGATATTTAAACAGTTTAAAACTTACGTTTTTCTTGAGTTGAACCCTTTCTACAATAATGCCTGAAAATTCAGAAATTCATATAGTTAATTCATAAAGATATCAATAATAGGAATGAAAAACTTATTTTACACTAGTAAGAGCTTATTACAATTATAAATAAGTTAATATCCTAATATACATTGCATTAATGAAACGAGTTGAAATTGAAATTATGATAAAGTTTTTGAATTATATACCATACCCGACACTACATGGAAGTTCTTCAACTGTAGATGGACAATATGATCCTGGGGCGCAAAATATTTCATCACTACTAATGACATCAGACCATACATCAGCTCCACCACATGTATGATTAGGTTTTCCTGGTGGTATTTGGTATGTATATCTGTAAAACAATGTCTAAGATAAAATCTAATACAAAATCAATAGTTTAGAGATGTAACACAAAACTTGATATTAATCTATGACTTACGGATCACATCTGCCTGTAGTTTTATTGAGTGTAGCAAATGGACAATAAGCACCTAGTGGACAAGCTACATAAAAAGTGAACACAAAAGTAATATTATTAGGGTGACAAATATATTGAATAAGAAAGTTAGTCATCAAATATTATAAAATTATATTGTTATAATAAGGCTATTTTATAGATAAAAAGTATGACCCAAAACTGAAATTGGAATATTCAAAGATAGTATTCAATGGTGTAATCATTGGAATTCTATATTGCTTTAATATTACTAATCTCTTCTTTCCTAGAAGGTTTTCCATATATCACTTTATTTCATATTTAGTAAAAAGATGATTATTTCTATCATCTCTTGCCCTATTTGCTTGATCCACTTTATTCAATACTATCTCACAATCTAATGAACTGCTTTTATACTTTCCTCTTTTTCTTGGATAGCACTTCTAATATATTATGAGAAGCTTAACAAATTTTAGGCGATACATTTGATATAAATTTGTAAAATTGTTAATTAATGGTTCAACACCATATTATAATTTATGTAGAAGAAAAAATGATAATAATGGATCAACACAACTATATATATGTATGTGTGTGTGTATTTATATATATATACACACACAAATGGATATGTATATATATGTCTTTACTATATGAATTTACTTACGTATCATACAAGTGACACCCTTGGGGCAAAAAAAGCCAGCACAACAAGGTTGACAATCTTCGGTCCTATCTGGAATGATTTGTGTGTTTTTAATATCAACTTTACGATCTTTACCAACACTACATGCCCACCCCGGCTCACATCCATCAATCCATGAGCTTAAGTTGCAATTATTATTTGGCTTTACATAACTTGAACTCATTTGGGCTCCACCAATTAAACTGATCATGTAAATCTTAACTTCTGCCGCAGTACATACTCGTTTTGGAACATCTATATACATATATTAAGAGAAATTTTTAATAAACATAATAAGGGATTTCATAAATAAGTTAAACCATTTAACAAGATTAAAGAGGATAATTACATGCAAAAGAGCCACAAAACAAAGTGAATTATAGTGGGAATGCATTTGTCTTGGTTTATTTTTAATCCCATATCATAAGAAGAATTAATAGAGATTAACCAATGCTTCAACATTCCTAAAATATAGTATCTAATTCATTTAGCACATTTTTGTAAGACTTGCCTTTAACCATCAATGTCTTAAAATACATATTAACAAAAGTTATAAATAAACTATATCATAAAACCTTATAGTGAGACCAATCTAACAATAACTCACCTGATTATGATTTTTTTACACAATTTTTGCACATATTATTTAAGTTTGACCATGAAAGTAAAAATAGGAACTAATTATAAGATGTTGGGGAAGTATAGAACATATATTTCACTTGACTAAAACGATTTGATTATCAAGAACCCCCTTATAGATTAGTTTAATGTGTCATACCATATTGCTAATGAAATAATGATTCAAGAATGTGACCATCATATTGCATCATCATTATTTAGTTTGGTTTTTATTTTATGTATGTGTCAAATCATTTTTTGTATAGATATAACTCCTACTCGTTATAATAATATAAAAAGCATGTAAAGAAAAATAATGATGTTGGATGTTTCACCTTTAATTTTCTGCATGCAAGATGTTAAAAATTCAAGATCATTTGAAAAATTAAAAGCTGATTTCCAATCAGCTTGCCTGAAATGGAAAAAAATAATTCATCTCAAAGCCTTCAAGTAACTTAATTAAAAAAAATAAAATAAAAATAAAAGATTTTTTATTCACATACACGTCCTTTATACAGAAGCCCAAATGTCTTTTGATATCTGGTTCAAAGACATGAGTGATATTGGCTAGTTGATTATATAACATCTGCGCAACAACTTGAAGAGCTGCTGGATTTTTAGCTTGACTATTATCTTCATCTAAATCATTTTGAGAATAAACAACACTTGTAGATAAAATGATTACAAAAAAAATTACCAACATAAGTAATTGCAAAAGGGAATATTGACAAAATTTTACTTTTGTCATATTATATATGATTGAACAAATATACAAATATTTAGATTGAAATTAAATTGAAAATTGATCTAAAAAGTAATAATAAAGATGACATTCTATGGATGTCTTGTTATTGGTAAGAATAAAGAAAACATATTCAGTATATACAAATGCAATGTATTAATGGAGTTTGAGGCACGTATAACTTTTTTGATAAAGCTTAATTTATTTTGGTAAGAATCAATCATGGGAAAAGCAAGAATGTGGTTTTGAAGATTCTTATTTTGTGATAAAAATCAAGATGAATTAGTGTGTAAAAAGGGATGAAAATGGCATACAATTTTATTTTATTTTATTACTTTTTTAGTTTTTGGTTGAAGATAACTTTCTAACTAATGAATTCATTATGTATCTGGTAGGGAGTAATGATTGCCTATATTAAAGGAAGTTATATAGGAAAAATATGCACCTCTTTTTTTAATAGGCATGAAGCAATATCTAATACATTAAAATTTCCAATAGTTAAAATTTTTAAATACTATTCCAGCAAAAAGATTATATAGTTTCAACTTCCTTAAAATGTGAATAATGGTTTGTTAAAAAGAAAAAAAGGCTTTTAAATTTAATTTTCTTTAGTTTTTATGTTGTACTAGGCCATATTTTTATTTTGTAAATGAGATTCAAATTGATTCAATCATATAATCAAAGAAGAAAACTCATTACATATCTCAATTTCAAGTTTACCAAACATGCATGTAATTAAGTACGATTATGAATATGTTTGTTAATATCTTTTGAAGTGGAATATAATATTTTGATTGGTCGAAAAAAAACATGTTTTATTATAATAAAATACTACTTTATTTTAATAATATTATACGCCTATGTGTATACAATATGTGTGCCCATATATAGAAATAAAATTTAGTAAAATAATTTTAAACATACTCATGTATCACTACACATTTTTAAGTTTCAAACGCAAACAATAAATTTATCTTTAAAACTAGCTTATGATCCCGTGTAATGCATGGAGTTATCAAATTTTACAAAAATGCTTCATATTACATAGTAAACTTTAGGTTGTACATACCCGTATGATGTACAAATTTATGCTGCATTAAACATTATGCATCCATCTCTTTTTTAATAATAATATTTTGCTTAAATTTTCTATAAGTTATTACAAAAATGTTTTGTTGAATTTGGGAGGGAAAGATTAATTTATATAAAATATATGAAAGATTTTTTTATATGTATAAATATATATTGGTAAAGTAGGAAAATATTGTACAAGTAGTGAATTAAAAATTTTCTAAGATAATTTGACAAAAAAAGTAAATAAAAAATTGGCAGAAAATTATATAATCAGATTTTGCTACGTGTCATTTCTTATTTGTCTTTAGTATATAGTTATTGATTATTGATACTACTCAGGACACTTAATGTATGTATGTAATGTGTGAATAAGTATTTTTTTATTTTAAAGACATGACCGCATGACGTGTGTCATAAATTGACCAATGAATTAGTTTTTGTGAAAAATCCTTGACTAAGGGGCTAGAGTTATATAACACCTTCCACCACAAATGTTAGATAAAAAGAAATCATGTAAGTGACTAAAAGATTTAGGTGATTCGATCATGTAATTTTATTTTTCATCAAATAAATTTTTAGCAATAACGTTAATGGAATTTATTTATTTTTTTTCGGTAAATAGGAAAAAATTTATTACCAAAAGGAAAAGTTACAACTTACAAGAGCTAAGTTATAACAAGCACCAAACCCCACTAGACCTGAAAAACAGGCCAACCAACCACCAAACAGTTCAAGCTCAATCTCCTGCCACCTTCTAGGAAGGGTTCAAGAGAAAGAGACAAGAACAACCTGAGCTCAAGCTTCCAGCCACCTTCTAGGAAGGGTTCTAGAAACCAGGCCCAGGAACACAAAAACAAACACAGAGCAGGACAAACCTGCAAACAAAACACACCAACCCTACAAACTGTATAATAGATAAAGACCCCCACCTAGACTCAGCTGCAAAAAGCAACAGGACTAGACAAAAAGAGGTAATACAGCAACTCAGAGAATACAAACCAGAACAGCAAACTGGACTCAAGACTGGAAACACCAAGCTAAGCACCAGAAAAGACAAAACTGCCCAAGAAACAGAATTACAGGATCAACAAATTCCTGTCAGAACCAGAGCATCTACTGGCAACAGCAAATAATATATCTCTGATCATAGGTTCACCAGATTTGAAATTTCCTGTGAAAATCAAGGAGTTTCTCTGTAACCAAATATGATACACAGATTCAGCAAAACACATTCCCAACAGTCTGTTTTTAGCTCTATCCTTCCTGCAGATTTTAGACACCCACATAACTTCAGCATCAAAGCTTAAAATAGACCTGTTGCACCCAAAAATAGCCAAAATTCTTTCCCAAATGACCTTAATAAAACTGCATTCAAATAATAGATGCTCAATTGACTCAGGATGCAAATTACACAGGAAACAAATAGGATCACATTGCATATTCCATGAACTCAATCTATCTTTTGTGAGTAATCTGTTCCTAACATCAAGCCAGAGAATGAATAAGCTCTTAGGGGTGGCAGAATTATTGCAAAAGAGTCTTCTCCATGGGACTTTGGGAGCTTAAGTCATAACCTTCAAATAGATCTCCTTAATCTTGATTTTACCACCTTATTTAACAGCATCCCAACCACCAATATTATCAATAATAGTTCTACATTTCAAAATTCTACTAAGCACCCAAGAACATCTCCTGGGAGCAGGTTTATTCCACCAAGGTTTATCTTTGAAATAGTAAGTATGAACCCATTTCACCCATAAGTTATCAGCTTTATGAGCAAGATCCCAGAGAAGTCTGGAGATAGCAGCAACATTCCACTCAGGAAGAGAAAGAAGTTTCCAGCCACCACTAACTTTTGGGAGACAAAGTTGAGACCAAGAGACAAGGGATTTCTTTGAGGAATTAGCTTTCCCAGTCCAAATGAAAGCTCTAAATCTAGCTTCAATTTCTCTTAGGATCTTTTTAGGGAGAATGAAGATTTGAGCCCAATAAGTTTGTATGCCAAACAAAACACTCTTGACTAATTGGAGCCTACCAGTATAGGAGAGGTGCCTAGCAGACCAACCATTAATTCTAACAGTCACTTTATCATCAAGGGGCTTGCATTGAGCAATGGTCAACTTTTTAGAAGAAAAAGGGACCCCTAAGTACTTAAATGGGATAGTACCAGGAGCAACCCCAATCAAATCTCTCAGCTCATCCTGCTCAGAATCAAGAAGCCCACCAAAATACACCTCACTTTTATCTAAGTTAACTGATAAACCACAAGCTTCAGAAAACTTAGAGAAAGCTTGAAAAAGCAAAGAAACAGACTGAGCATCTGCTCTAGAGAAAAGCAACAAATCATCAGCAAACATAAGATTGGTCAACCCTATCTTCTCACATCTAGGGTGATAGTTAAAATCAGGATTCAGCTGAAGCTCAGAAAGACATCTGGAGAGATACTCCATTCCAATGGCAAAGAGAAAGGGAGACATGGGATCACCTTGCCTAAGACCCTTCTTTGCAGGGAATGGATTGGAAGGGACACCATTGATCAAAATAGAGAAGGAGACAGAAGACAAACAAGCCATAATCCAGGAAATAAATTGGTTAGGAAAACCAATCTCAGACATAACAGTCTTCAGAAAGCCCCATTCAACAGAGTCATAAGCTTTTTTCAGATCAATCTTCAACATGCACCTGTGAGAAAGAAACTTATACCCATATCCTTTAATAAGCTCAGTGGCTAATAAGATATTGTCACCAATATGCTTCCCTGGGATAAACCCAACTTGAGAGCCATCAATCACCCCAGAAATCACATTTGCATGCCTTGAAGTAATGATTTTAGAAATAAGCTTATAAAGAACAGAACAGCAAGCAATTGGCCTAAAATCTTTAACAAGGGAAGGATTCTGAACCTTAGGAACTAAGGTTACAGTTGTGCAGTTCCATTGTCTCAACATAACACCAGTATTGAAAAACTCCATAACACCAGCATAAACTTCATTTTCACAACATCCCAAGTTTTCTTGAAGAAGTGAGAGTTAAACCCATCAATTCCAGGAGCTTTGGAGCTATCAATATCTTTCAAGCCTAAGTCAATTTCCTCAATGGAAATAGGAGCAATTCAATAAGAGACTGCTGAGAATCTCTAGAAAGCTGAGCACCTCTTCTCACAGTGCTAAAATCAACCCCGGGAAGGGAATCAGCATTAGAGCCAAGAAGAGCTTTATAAAAACCTGTGATTCTTCAATAGTAGCAGGGGTTTTTAGTAAAGTGCCATCACTAGTAAAAAGAGTATCAATCCTATTTTTGCCTTGTCTTTGTTTCATAACAGCAAAAAAAATATTTGTTGTTACTATCACCAAGCTGAAGTCAATCCACTCTGGATTTTTGTCTGTAAATACTTTCTTGAACATTAATCCAGTATTTAACAGTTTGAATAGCTTCTAACTCCTTGGAGTGCAAATCAACATTGTTAACATCATTTATAATCTGCTGCTGAATATCAGTTAAAGCATTTTGAGCAGCTTCAACCTTCTCAGAAACATTACCAAATTTCTCAATGTTCAATTACTTAAGGGCATTCTTACTTGCTTAAGTTTAAACCAAACCTTATGCATTGCATTACCAGGAACAGAAAATTGCCAAGCAGAATCCACAATATCTAGAAAATTTGCATGATCAGCAAGACAATTAAGGAACCTAAAAGGTCTCCCTTTGCCAGGCTGAGAATGAAAGATATCAAAGAGAATAGGATTGTGATCAAAAAGAGATGGGGGCAAGTAAATAGCTTCAACATGCCCATAAATATCCATCCAATCTTGGTTAACAATACCTCTATCAATTCTAGAATAAGTCCTAGGACCATTATGAGCTTTGTTACACCAAGAGAAGAAGGAACCCTTGCTCTTAATTTCAGTTAAAGCCAAATTATCAACAAAGCTCTGAAAATCCCTGGTTTCATAATAAGTAACCAGAGCCCCATTAATTCTATCAACACAAGATAGAATAGAGTTAAAATCACTAGCACACAACCAGGCTCCAGAGATACCAGTCAACTGCCTAAGACCAGCCCACAGAGGAAGCCTATCCTGAACAGTATGTAACCCATACACAAAAGTAATGAAAATCTGAGTTTGCAGATCTTTTGTGGTGATCAAACAATGAACTAACTGCTCTTGAGAAGAAAGCACAGTTAGATTGAAAAGATCAGCTTTCCAACCTATCCAAATCCTACCCCTTGGATAATTAGCATAGTTAGCAAACCAAGTCCAAGCAATCCCAAATTTCCTCTTAATCTTGAAAAAATTATGCTGTTTTACTTTAGTTTTAATAAGGCAAAGAACATCACACTTCTGATCACAAAGTAGCTTTCTAACAGCAACCACCTTCCCAGGGTCATTAAGACCCCTAATGTTCCATGAGAGAACTAACATGACCCTATAGGGGGACTCCCATCACCCCCGTTAGGTTCATTAGCATTATCTGCAATTTCAATACCATCAGTATTGATCTGTGCCATTTATGGCACCTTTAGGCTATGTTTTCTTCATATTTCTATGCTCGTTATTATTCGTTTATGTCGTGTTTTCAGGGAATAATGCTTGATTTGCGTGTTTGTGTGTTAGTTTAGAGAAATGCGTTCCTTTAGTGGTTTTCTTATTATTTTATTCATTTCTCGGCTTTTTCCCTCGCTTCTCCGTTTGTTTGACTTGTTTTGTAGGTGTGTCGAGCTTCCGGGATTTAATCATCAAGGAGGGAGCTCAAGCGCATTCAAGGAATTTAACAGAGCCAAGTTAGGGAAGCCAAGCACGCAAGTCAAGCCAATCCAAGAAACAAAGGAAAATGAAGGCTTACAAAGTATCAAAAAGGACCTTTGTGCATTGTTTCGTCCATATCTCTAGTTCTAAAAATCGGATTGAAGTGATTCAAGTTGGGTTGGAAACTAGACTTGAAGAGCTTTCCAATGATAGGTCGAACGCCTTCATAATTTCCTAGATCGTGAGTTACAACCTTCCAAAGTTGGCCCTGCAAATCTGTCGTAACCTATTTCTGCCGATTTTGGGCAGCAACTCTCCGCGGGCTGGCCGCGGGCTCCTCGCGGGCGCGGGCTTTCGGGGTGTCCGCGGGCGCGGCCGATTTCTATGAGGGCGCGGACTTCTGGGTCTTTTACGATTTTAAGCTTCTTTTCTCCTTTTGTTTATAGATTGTTTTGGGGGGTTTTATTATCATTCATTCACATAATTCTTAGTCTTAGAATAGTTTTCTCTCTCTAGATTAGGCTAGATTAGGAGTAGTTTTAGAGAGAGAAAGTGAAGGATTTCAATGGTGATTGAGAGATTGAAGATACAAGGGTGACAATTGTGTTCAAGATCTTCTCTATTATCAATGAGCATTCTTAACTCTATCTCACCTTAATGATTTGTTTAATTTCATGTTTGTTTGGATTGATTTTGATGTTTGATGCTTGATTAGTGTAGTTATTCTTGATATATATTTGATTCTTGATTTCCATAGTTGTTAGTTGATAGATGATGATTCTTGAATAGTTTCTTGGCTAGGAATTGGGTGAAACTTGTATGATTGATTAATTGTGATTAATTTGGGAATTGTGTTGATTCATTGTTAAGATTAAAGTGATTAATGAAGGTTTGCATGTGTGTAATGCGATTAGGCCTCGAGAATTATGCTAGATTGCATTGTAATTGCTAATGACACGAACAATTGATTTAGTAATTGCAATTATCGATTGGTTTTGATTGTGATTCTCTTAGTTTGGAATTCATAGTGAACCCTAGCTTAACAATTAGGAGATAGCTCTTTGATTCTAATTGATTGCTCATATCATTAGTCTTCACAACCTTTGATTGACTTGATCTTTCCAAGTTGTTGTAAATGACATGATTACTTGTTGATCCCCGTTCCTAGTGTTTTTTTTTTCTTTGGTTACTTGTTTTGTTAGTTGTTAGTATTCTCCCTTTACCCTTTGATTTCGACCTAGGTTAGGCGCATAATTGAAAGTGCTTGAACATCATCATTCCTTTGGGTTCGACCCTTGACTTGCCTCTATACTCGCATTTAGGTTTGTTAAGTGTTTATAAATTTAGTTTGACCGAGGGAAGATTAGATAACGACCTAGTTTTCCCCTCGTCAAAATGGCGCCGTTGCCGGGGAACGGTGTCTATGTTTGAGTGTTTTTGATTGCTTGAGTCTAGGTCTTTGTATATACTTTTCTTTTATTTGATTTTTGTTTGTTTTGTATAAAAATGTCATGTCTATCATTTCCTCAATTTGACAATGAGCCTTTTTGTGAATATTTCAATAGACTTGAGGGATTTTTGGATTATAATTGTTGTAGTATTTTGGAGGCTTGTGAGATTTGTTATTTTGGTTTGAATGAGCAAACTAGAAATGAAGTTGAATGCATACATAATGGTGAATTTAGAGCATT